AAATTTTGTCATCATTTACTCACCCTCATGCTATTCCAAACCTGTATGCGTCTCTTTCTTATGTTGAACATAAAAGAAGATATTTTGAAGAATGCTGGTAATCAAACAGTTGATGGTTCCCATTGACTTCCATAGTATTTATTTCCCTACTACAGAAGTTTACGGGGACCAACAACTGTTTGGTTCTTCAAAATTCTTCAAAAATCTGTGTTCAACATAAGAAAGAAACTTATATAGGTTTGGAACGACATAAGGGTGAGTAAATGATGACAGAATTTTCATTTTTGGGCAAACTATTCCTTTAATGCATCCTTGCTGAATAAATGGACTAAAAATATCTTACTTTTGAACAGTAGTGTATTTCCAAGTAAAAAAAATAAAAAATTAAGTGATCAGGAATCGACTGGCTCAAGCAATTGTTGCCATTTTTACATGAACATTAACCAACATTAAAAGACTGGAAATAAAGCATAATAAAGTACAAACTGGGAAACCCTGTTAATTGGTTATAAAGATCTTTGCTGATCTTAATTCTTGCTGAGGGTTTATCATCAAATACATTCGATAAAAGACTTGTTGAATCCTTCAAGGTGAAGAGTGTGCTTTTTGTTTCAAAATTAATTTGCTATTTTTTTTAAACTCCTAACCTGGCCAAATATGCAGTCAATTATAAGTAAGCCTTTTGTAGCTTCATTCCTGGAAAGATATAAAGCGTAATGAGTACCTCTTCCCTGTAGACAGTGCTGGAGCTGTAGACGGCTAGCTGTCGGAGGGGCTGCTTGTTATCAATGAAAGAGATTGTCATGGCAACCACCAGGTTGTAGTTGTGATTGTGGCAGAACTCACAGAGGTCCTGCTGTAGTCCACGCCTCTGAAGAAAAGCCTAAAGACAGAACAGCACTTTTAACATGTGCGCATCATAAGAAGAAAATAAAAACTCATTTCACTTTTCAAGACAATTTCAAATGAGATACATATTTGCAATGCCCAAAATGTTCCTTCTGTTGTGTAAAGTTTTGATGCCTTCGAATTCCAACATATATCTTTGTTTCAGCTAAGATATTAAGAAAATTTCATTAGTGTAAGGTATTTTAATGAAATATAAATACATTACTGAAAAACATAATCTTTAAAATATGCAGAGATCAATCAAACAGTTTTATTTTATGAAATACCTCTGATCTCTTCTGAATCATTTGACATATATTTCTGATTAACTTCTTTGGCAATTTATACACATATACACATACACACACACACACACACGCACATATTAAACAATGTTATGTATTGTAATCAGCATTTTTATTCCCATAATTTATCTGAACTTATCTCTGGATATTCAGCACTGAACAAAACAGGTTGGATGCCCGGAGGTTAACGTCTGGTGTAATCAGTGGGTGTGCGAGACAGGCCGCCCAGCCCTGCGGTGAGTCTGGGTGTGTCTGACTTGGAATCGGTTGTGCTTCAGTATTAATGAGGAATTCACATGAGGAGTCATGAGGATGGGCACATGAGCACACTTTGTGCCCACAACAGTAGTTCCTTACATTTCACAGTCTACATTTCCTCTCTGTCTTTGTGGAACCGAGTGCTGAGGCTAAATGCATAGCACAAACACAAGATTCACTTCATTTAGGACAAAACATGTCATTTGCACGTGATCTTCTAAATTTAAAGTAAGCATCAGAAATAGTCGTGCCAGCATGTTTTAGAAATGCCTGGATATTCAGCACTGAACAAAACAGGTTGGATGCCTCGCACACATATATACACATGCATAAAACAAGCATCTTTTGTTTTTGGCCATGCATCACTGTTTATTTAGCAACTTGTGCTATAAGTATTATATAACTTCAAGATGAAAGAATTCAAAGTTACTTTTAAAAAAACAAGAATACACTCTGCATATATAGCAAACAATTGTTCAGTACTGGATCTCATTTAATAGTTAATAAAACGGACTGAGTAATGCGTGATGTTCAATCACTAAAAAGTGAGTTTTATTGTTTAAAACCTGTATTGAAATGATCATGTTAGTAATGTATTACTTCCTTCATTGTTCCTATGTAATATTGCAATTAAAAAATAAAAATAAATTAATAAATGCTATTCTTATATTTATTTTTATTTTCCTTTCATTGTGTCCGTTTGAAAGAAAGACAATGAAAGAAAAAGAAATATTCAATGAATGGACATTACAGAATTTTACTATAGCAATTAAAAAATTACTTTGTACTTCTTTTTAAGGGTGTGATTAAATCTTTTAAAAACACCGATCAGGTCACAAAAATAAAAAATCAAATTATTAAAATGTATTGTATATATCTGCAAATATCAGTATAAATAACACAGTTTTGGTTAAAAGCTGTATCAGCCAAATCAATACATTCCAAGCTTCTGAGATTGTAGAAGCTTTTAGAGGTCAAGTGAAATATGTCAAAACAGCACTGACCTCTAGTGTCATGTAAATGACACTGACAGCCAATTTTAGATCTCCACCAGATGCTGCTTTCATGTCTTTCAACAGCATCTGTTCTGTAGAGAGGCCTGAAATACAGGACAGTACCGTGAAATTACTTTCAATGAATTCATGCATTCAAATTATACGGTTTAATATGTCTACATCAAGTGGTTTGTTTCATTAACCTACACAGTACAAGATCCTCTCACCTGACACGTCAAACTTGGCATTCTGTAGCGACTGAAAGAGAGCGCCCCTCTTAGGCAGTTTTGGAAAACGTTTCTCCAAAAAGACGGCGTACTGGCTGTCCTTAGGGGTGACTTTACCAGCTTCAGGTGCCATGTTAACACAGTCTAGTATAATGGTACCTGTCAACACATACATTTTGCAAGTTAACAAGATGTTATCTTTCTGCTGACATCTCGCATCTCTATCAAGTATCTCTTCTGGCTAAATGCCACTGAAGCCCATGCTGAGCCCATCTGATGTCTAACAGATTTTGCCGCAGTCATGCTGTGAGATCTCACATTCCTCTCCGTGTTTATCACATCGCCATGACACTCACCGTATAAAAGCTGAGCCACTTGTTGGTCGAGCACCTCAGGTGCTTTTTGGGCAATGCGCTCAGTCACCAAGGTGGCACAGGAGCCCACGGGCTCCACAGTGATGGGACAGGAGGGGGATGTGGGCCTCTGTAGGAGGTGATGGTCAATCACTTCCACAACTGCGTCCTCCAGCTCACTGTCAGCACTACAGAATAACACAGACTTACTATAAAAGAACTGACCAAATCTCCTGATCTTCACTTCAAAAGTTAACTGGCACTGCACAGATTTTAAAAAATAAAAATCAATAATATCTATGATCTATAAATAAATGGTAAATAGGTAAAATGTCTCAGTTCAGTACGAATCCTGCTTCTGTGGTCACAGGTTCGGTACAATAAACACTTCATATGTCGCTATTAGTGGTGAACTAATTAGATTAATATATAATAACTGTTTTACCATATTCTGATATTTATTTTTTGTTGCCATTCAATTTTAACGAGACCGTTTTACCACACATTTACAAAAATTCAGGCATATGGTGTAGTAAAATGCTTCATAATACTATTGCAATTAATTATTATTATTATTATTATAAAGGTATTATTGCTATATTAAATATATAACTATTACTGTTCAAAAGATTGTGGCAGATAAGATTATTAATTTTTTTAAAAGTCTCCTATATGCTCACCATTTTAAAATGACAATAAAATTACAATTTAAAATAACAGTTTTCAATTATAATATATTTTAAAGCATAATTTATTCCTGTGATGGCAAAGCTAAATTTTCAACAGTTATAACTCCAGTCTCCACATCACATGATCTTTCAGAAATCATTTTAATACAGTGATTTGGTGCATAAGAAACATTTTCTGTTATTATCATTCCTGTTTCGTTGCTGCTTAAATTTTTTTTTAGGATTCTTTAAAGAATGCCATTTATTTAAAATAGAAATAGACATTTTGTAATTAATTAATACATTTTGATTAATTTAATGCATCCTTGCTTAATAAACATGTTAATTCCTTTCAACAACAACAACAACAACAAATCTTACTGACCCCAAACTTTTGAACAGTAATATATATTTTGAATATATTTTATATATTAAAATGAAAATTCAGCTAATGAATTACTCGAAAATTGCATTCCTTTTATATGTGACGATGGAAGACGGAACATGGTGTAGTACACACACTGCATTTGTGCTACAGAACAGAAGACTGACCTGGGCAGAACATTGTGGTCGACCAGGGTCAGTGTCAGCTGTTTGTTCTTGTGCAGGCCGTGGAGGTCCACCTCGTCTCTGAACAGCAGGCAGTCCTGCGACAGACCGGTCTCTCTCAGCAGAAAGGTGCTGTCAGAGTGCAAGGGGAACTCAGCCCGTGGGATGTTGAGCACAGGGACCGGCATCCTCTTACAATCAAGACTCTATGAGACGACAACATTAATGATGAACAAAACAATAATCCAGAATTATCACGTCTATTATCTCTGACACAATTTTCCAAGAACACTGCAGCAAAAGTGGTTTATTAGGTTGGGCATTGCATACCTTTGAAAGAAAGTAGGCGAAGGTCAGGGCTGATACCATGGAGTCCATATCACAAGCCTCATTTCCCATTACGACATGCAGCCCTGGGCTGTTCTTACTACAAGCCTGAGAATGAAACAGAACAGTGTCACAGGCTGCTGGACTAATATAGGACAAGAATTCATAACGTATAACTGCAAACCTAGTTCTTCATAATAAGGCTTTGGTGGCCTCTATTAAACCAGGCTGCAATGCAAAACTGAAATGTCTGTTTGTGGTTTCTGTGACATTTCCTATGCACAAATATTTACAGCAAGTAGCAAGTACATGACAAGCTAAAAATGCATCCAATAGGCTGTGAGGACTTCCAGCTCCACAAAGTGCTTCATCTGACAAACAAACAGTGTTGAACTTATGATCACCCAGTCTCTCTATATAACCGGCAGCCAGTGGGAGGTGGAGTACAATGTGTCAGAGATAAAACACATTTTGTTGCTTCTCACCAGATATAGTACAGCAGTATATTCTTTTAACAGATGATAACATGAATGACAACAAAATTCATTTTCTTTTAAGGTAAATATTTGTTCTTAAAGGGATAGTTAATCTAAAAATGAAAAGTATGCCATTGTTTACTCAATATTCAAACCTGTATCACTTGCTTTTTTTCTGTGGGACATAAAAGGAGATGTTTTGATGAATGCTGATACTGCTCTTTTTCATACAATAAAACCATACAATGTCCAGGGGTTATCAATAAAGAAAGAAAGAAAAAAAAAAGCTCCATAAAAGCAGGCCATATGCACTATATATAGTCAAATTATATATTTGTGACTTGTTTTTATTAGCTGAAAATCTTCCTCTCTGCCACAGCTCAAATCTCATCCACGCTTACACATATTCAAATACTGTGCGAAAATATTTAACGTTAACAATAATGTAACCAATTTGTAACCAACCCTCATGTCTTTCCAAACCTGTAAGACCTTCATCTTCTGGAGTTCATCTTTGGAACACAAATGAAGATAAATAAAGTCTTTATTTTTGTTTTCTTTGTGCAGAAAAAGTATTCTTGTAGCTTTATAAAATTAAGGTTGAATCACTGATGTTACATGGACTATTTTAACAATGTCCTTACTACCTTTCTGGGCCTTGAAAGTGGTAGTTGTGTTGCTGTCCATGCAGGGTAAGAAAGCTCTCGGATTTCATCACAAATATCTTAATTTATGTTCCAAAGATGAACGAGGGTCTTACGGGTTTGGAACGACACCAATGTGAGTAATTGACGACAGAATTTTCATTTTTTGGTGAACTATCCCTTTAAATTTCAGTGCTTTCGTAACATGAATAATAGTATGGCTTCAGAAAACTTGGAGCATGCACTACTGTTAAAAATCTGGAGTCTGATTTTTACTGTTTCTGATGACTCACCGAGGCTGCATTTATTTAAAAATAGAGTAAAAATAGTAAAATTGTGAAATATTATTACAATTTAAAATAACTTTTATTTTGAAATATTTTGTTCTTGTAATGGCAAAGCTGTATGTTCAGCAGACACTATCGCTCTAGTCTTCACTGTCACATGATCTTTTATAAATTATTCTAAATATGCTGATTTGGTGCTCATTATTGGTCAATTTAATGCATCCTTGCTGAATAAAAGTATTACTTTCCTTATAAAAAAAAAAAAAATCGACACTTTCTAACGGTAGTGTAGTTATGGACTACATTTATGTTACTTAAAATGTGTTTTTCTCTCTCTCTCTCTCTTTTTTGGGAACTTAAGAACCCACAATTGTATATCAAAGCCTATTTGCTGGACCACTTGTGAGATGAAGAGCACTTTTAATAGAATAACACCGAATGCATCGCCCTGGATTCAATAAAACCTTTTATCTCTCCCCATGATGACTCCTCTTCCAGCGTTAATTAGCATTTGGCCTGCTCCATTACTCCAGCCGAATACAGAAGCCATCCGTGACGTCAGCATTAAATGATGTACTCTGATCTGGGCAAGCGTTTGTTTGAAATGCTGGAAGATGGACAGTCAACACAGTGACTGAGCTCACAGTTGGCACAGATCAGGGGTGAGGCTTTGGCAAGATCTCTCTTTGTCATGTGATAATCATCACCAAAATCCTTGTTAGATGGGGAAGTGCAGGAAAAACATGCTTATTTATGTCCATATGTGCATGGCCGGGGGACAGCGCAGGAAGTTAGTCACTGCAATCATGTGAAATGGACCACAGGACAGTGAGTAAACAGTACAGAACCTGCGGGTCTTGGGTCAGGGTGGAAAAGAGCTCTTGTGTGTGCTCTATTTGCAACCTCACGCTTCAGTGCAGACAAAAAGCACTTTAACCACAAGTGCAACTGTATAATTTCTTCAATCATTGACTGAATTAGTTAAAGAAGCCATCTCTGCTTGCTTCCATGAGCTGAGGCTCAAGGTAAACAGGGGGCTTCAGTATATCCACCCAGCAGTGGGCGAGTGCAGGTGTCAGGGTGTTTGGGTTTAAAACAACAGTGTTTAGGGTGGAGAGATGCACTGCTGTTGGACAGATGCTGTCAGGATCATGTGCACCGGACAGCAGGTGTTATTGTCTCTGCAAACAGGGCCACCTTCAGTTTTGAAACTGAGTGCATTAAGCTGAAAAACTAGAAAAGTGGGAATTGTTCTTATTGACTAAACACACTGACAGCACCTTTAGAAAATAGTTTCTATCTGAAGCTCCAAAAGATCCATTTGCACCAAACAGCTCATTAAATTTGTTTTAAACAGTTTTTAATAGTGTACAATTATAAATGGTAAAAGTGTGTACATTTATGTGTGTAAAATTATGTGTACATTTAATAATAATAGCCTAATAATAATAATAATAATAATTTATATACACGGCCGTTCAAAAGTTTGGGACCAGTAAGATTTTTAATGTTTTTTTTTTTTTTAAAGATGCTGCTTCTGCTCATCAAGGATGCATTTGTTTGATCAAAAATACAGAAAAAAAGTAATATTGTGAAATATTACAATTTAAAGTAACTTTTTTTCTATTTTAATATATTTTAAAATGCAATTTATTCTTGTGACGCAAAGCTGAATTTTCATCATCCATTATTCCAGTCTTCAGTGTCACATGATCCTTCCAAGATCATTCTGATTTATTAACAATATGCTGATTTATTATGAATGTTGAAATATTTTTTTTTTTAAATATATTATATTAATTTATAATATATAATATAATATTATATAATATATAAATAACAAATATAAACAAACATGCTTGCGTACTTTCTCTCAATGTAATGTTAGTTGTTTCTATCATTGGCTCATGCGGCCAGGGTCTTCGCCTGGCGCGTCATACCATATGACTTGTGTCAATATCAAGAGTACGTTATATCAAACAAAGCATTCATTAATTATCACACCAAGCCATTATAAACGGTGAACACACTCGTGATTATGTATGTCTAAACAAGCACAGTGCAAGCTCTGGCCACATTTTAAGTAGGTAAAATGGTAGAAGCAAACATACCACGCGTAACCCTCTCTCTTAATATTTTTTTTTTTAAACCTGTGATACTTTTTTCAGGAAAAAGTAAAAAAAAAAAAAAACAGCATTTAATCAAAATAGAAATATTTTCTAACAATGTAAGTCTTTAACATCAATTTTTATTAATTTAACACATCCTTGCTGAAAAAATAATAAATTTCTTTAAAAAAAAAATAAAAAAAATACTTTTACTTAATTTCTCTGATCCCAAATCGTGATTATGTATGTCTAAACAAGCACAGTGCAAGCTCTGGCCACATTTTAAGTAGGTAAAATGGTAGAAGCAAACATACCACGCGTAACCCTCTCTCTTTTAAGCGTAACGTTACTGTACCATAGTCTTACCTTAAGCACATCGCGACAGCTCCGTAAATATGCCTCCATTGTTACACGGAGCCCGAGGGTTTTCACGTAACGGAATATCCTAAAGGAGTATAAAATGCCCTTCAGTGCCTCTGAAATGTGCAGAGTGTCTCAGCGGTTCACCGTGTGTAAATTAAGCCACTCGGATTCAGAGGTTTGCGCGAGAAGCCAACTACGTCCTGACGTCACATGGTGTGCCGGGAAATGTAGTTTGTTGTGGACACACGAGAAACCTTAAAGGGGTCATATGATGCTTTTTTAAAGATGTGTTAGAACGAGCCGTTTTAGGGGGGGCGTGTCAGAGTCTTAACTTTGATAAAGAATATCTCTTTGGTTTTGAGACTTTAGTCTTTGCAACTTCAGGGATCTTATCTATGCACAATCAGCTTGTAACACTCCAAAGAGAAAGGAAAACTTGAAATCGCATCATATGACCCCTTTAAAATGAGAGGGTCCATGTGTTACTGTTGAGATCATCTGTTCTCTATGCTAATGTTCTCCTAAACGGTGACAAAGTTGAAATGATCTGATATTTTATCAAATATACACGTTTGAATTTTTAAATATTTTTCTGAGGGAAAATGAAACTACTCCTGCACAACAGAGATTTTTGTCCAATCAAATGCTAACTACATTAAGTCCCTCAATTTTGCGGTTTCATTACAAAATTGTCTACAAATGAGAAATTGTGCGTGTCAAATGAATGAACAGGCCTTTAAGACATTATTTTTGATGTTTATAATGAAAACATTTTACCAAAAAATGGTTCCATTTAATTTTTTTCTCCATGTATCTGAAAACAGCTTCTCTGATTTTATACAATTGTACAATATCAGTAAAAAAAAAAAAAGTAGAAATTGAACCTTTAAAATACAAATCTAGTAAAATACATTAAAATATTTTATCTACTTTCCAAAAAACACATGAAAAAAAATTGTTTTACACTGGGTAACATGGTGAAACAGCATTATAGTTTTTCTTCTAGTTACGTCTAACATTACTTTCTATTAAAAAAATTAAAACATTTCATCTGATTTATGTAGGTGGTCTAATGTAGCAAGTTAGCAACACATCTTTGTTAGGGTGGCACCTTTTGCACCCTGTGTAGTAAACATCAATGATCTTGGGGATATGATTCGGCACGAAGTGGCTTTGATATAACGCTGATGCTTTGTTCTTCGTGATTGAATTTCTGCAATGAATCACATTCTGTCCAATAGCATGCCGGTTTAGATCTTCTCAACGTAGTTGCCAGGAAACATGCCTTCCTTTCCTCGAAGACAGCCTTTCCACCAACCTGAAGGATCTGGGCAGACAGCACATCTTGGGTTAGTGCAGCATTCGCTAACCCAATATAATCTGTATAAATTTCACTTTTAATGTTATAAAAATAGATTACCTTCACATGTGATTTCTATGATATCCTCTGCTTGAAAGCTGAGCTCATCTGTGTCCTGAGCATCATAAGCGTAGATTGCTCTGCACTGTGGGGTGCGGGGTCTGGGTTTGGGTTTGGGTTTGGGTCCCCCTGAACCTGGAAGAGGCTTGTACTCTTTTGAACGTCTGCGATGCATTCTGAGAGAAAACAAAGGGAATATTTCCTTTGAAAGACTTAAATAACAATTGTCATTCAAATCAAAACTAACAATTCTCATAAAAACTGAAACTAAATATCTAACTATATACCTAATAATTTAGGTATCTCTGAAAAAACTAATACTGACAGAGTGAAGATCAAATTGAATTCAAATGACACTGAAAACAGAAATAAAAAAAATACTATAATAACCTGAATGACAGAATTAATTTCTTAAAACCGTGTGTTACAATTACTAACATACTGATCTGTGAGTTCCAGCCAAACAAGGTTTAAGATTGTAAAGTCTTCAGTCAGTATATAATTCTTCTAATTGCTTGTATCTGAATTTCTTGCTGTCAGTTGATCCGTCATCTCACCCAGCCACGCCCTGATCAGGAACATTCATGAAGCCCATATCAGCGTAGATCTGGCTCTCACGTTGACTGTGACGAGATCCCCGGAGTCTGGGAAGGGTGGGCTGATCCATACTGGACTGCTGGCGGAGCAGAGAGTTTCTACCGGCATGCTGCCCCTGGGTTCCTCTTCCTCGACGATCAGACTTAGGAGGCTCTGAAATCACAGGCCATAGGAACATTTTTAAACTATTTCTAAAACAGTTTAGCTGAAGCTTTTGTGAAATGTGTAAAATTGTGGTCTTACCACGTGAATACTGGCCTACATTGCGATTTTGGTTCCCTATGTACCTGCTTTTTCGGTTGTCACGGCGAGTGGGTCCTGCAAAAACGATAATTATGACATATTAGAAAAAAGTCTTTCATCTCACTTTTGAATTTTCTAAAAATCCTGGAAGAAAAATATGATTGTTTTCACAAAAATATTAAGCAGCACAATTGATTTTAACATTGATAATAATAAGTTTATAAGCATATTCATGTTTTTTATGCACCAAATCAGCATATTAGATTTATTTCTGAAGGATCATGTATCCTGAAGACTAGAGTAATTCAGCTTTGCATCACAGGCATAAATTACATTTTAAAATATGTTAAAACCAAAAACATTTCTTTTAAATTGTAATAATATTTCACAGTTTTTACAGTATTTTTGATCAAATAAACACAGCCTTCATGAGCATAAGAGAAAAAATCTTACAAACCCACATTTTTGAATGGGGATATTTCTTCATGATCTCAAAATTGTATGCAAAATGGGTGTCAATTTCTCAAGACCACTAAACTGTGATTCTATACCCCAAAAAGTATAACTTGGTGTTGTAAGCATTTAAAATATTTTTTACTAAAACACAAAATTTCACCACAGACTCACTTGCGTTTTTAGGCAGACCGGGTCCAATACTGACAGTCAGGACTTTGCTGCTGGGCTTCAGAACTGCTTCATCACCCTGACCCATCTGAAACTGGATCTGTCGAGAGCCAGCAGATGAAAATGGACCCCATCCTCCTTTCTTCACCTTAAATTCAAGTCTGATAGAGAAAAATGTTCAATGTTGAAATTACAAGACCAACATATCCTACTTTTCTGAATAATACAGCACATGGTCAATTTCTCAGTGAGGGAAATATTGCTCACAGGTTGTTAAACTTCAGCGGCAGCTTTTTCCGTGTTTTTTCCTCGTAACGCTTGAACAGAAGACTGAGGAACTCGGTTTTAAAGACAGACTGCAGCACACTGTCGTATTGATCCTCATGCAATATGAAGAGGTCATCCTGTAAAGTGCTGAGGAAAGAGAGATACAATAACTGATCAATAACCCATCATCCATATGCAATTTAGAAATGATAAAAACCTGCTTAAATACTGGTTTAAAGGCATCATTCACTCACCCACACGTTGTTCCAAACCTGTATGATATTTTGAAGAATGTAGATAAGCAAAACTTCGACAGTATTGAAAAAAATACTATGGAAGTCAATGGGAATCAGAAACGGGTTAATAACATTCTACAAAATATCTTTTGTGTTCAGCAGAGGAAAGAAATTCATACAGGTTTGGAACAAATTGAGGGTGAGCAAATGATCACAGAATTTTGATTTTTGCTGAACTTTATTTTTATTCTACTTTAAATGTATGATTTATTAATCATTTTGAAGCTTTGATGTAGGGAGATCCTTCAAGGCCTAAAGGTTATCATGAATATTACATGATAGAGTACCTAAGAGAGACAGACTGGATTTTTTCCACCTCTATTTTTCTCTTCAAGACCTCCCGAATCTGGCCTTTCTCAGGACCCTGTTTCACCTTCTCACGTCCAATCAAATAGAGGAACTTAGGGCTGAGAATGAGGTCACGCTTGACAGTCTGTGGGTGTTGAAACAGCATGTGAGTATGTGTCAGATGAACTACATGTGCAGAATAAAACATCTGTTGGTTCAGTAAACTAGCACAAAATACTACTAAACAGTTACTCAGGAAGTGAGCTATGAGTTTCAGTATGTTAAAGGGGACGTCGAGTCAAACCTTAAATCTGCGGTCATATTTGACCACCACGTCAGCAAAATCAACCCTCTCCCTACGACCCAAGAACTGTCGAATCTCTGGATGGTTGTCCATGCCAATGTAGTCTCCCATGAAATTGCGGTTCAGACTGTTCTTTCGTCTCTCCTTCTTGTTCAGCAAGAGATCAGAGGCTGAAAGCATTACAGAATCGTGTGATTGAAAATGAAGTTAATTTGATTCTATTCCAAAGGCCCTATATATTAGATTTGAGTCTTTTTGTCCATTTTTATTGACTGATACAGAAGATGGGATACAAAGAGCAATGGGGTCTGGACTGAATTCTTTTTCTGCATGTATCAAAGAGAGGAATCTGAATGAACTCTTACCTTCCTCTCTCATCCGGACGTACTTGCGCACAGCGATGTGTTTGCGCCAGGCTTGCTGGATTACCCGAGCATATCCGTTGTATTTCCTTTCCCTCATCTCCTCCAGCAGGAACAACTAAAGATTGACATAATCACACTTATTTGTCATAGTCATCACTGTTGAATATCAACAAAATATTTCAGAATATCAACAAAATGCAATCACAAAATGACCAAAGCAAATTTGAGAAGCGTGTCCACTCACTTCGTTAGGTGTGTAACAAATGACACACTATACTCTATGCACTACATACTCAATCGTCTAGTATGCAAATTATATAAGGTTATTTAGTCTTGTCCAACATTTCACAATTTTTTTGGTTAACTAAGTGCATCATCTGGGCATTAGAAATGCACTTTTTCACACTACTTATACTAAAAAAACAGCATACTGCATAAATACGTGAATTAGGACGCACCTATAGTGTCTATTCTATATAAACAAAGTTTTGAAAAAACATAGTTCTACAAGAAGCCATGTGAACCACAGCTGAAGAACATTCACTTAAGTCTAAATGACTTTTAATCTTTTGCACATCGCCAAAGGAATGCATTTACGTAGCCAAACTGCAAAGTAATTCAATTTGTCCATGACTAAAATAAGTGACCCACCTCTAAAAAAAGTTACAACAGCAAAAAAGGGACATAGTCCCAAAAGTTCAGTTAATGAATTAGGCATTTGAAGAAAACATCACATTAAATTACAACTGTAACATTATCACTACCTTCAAGTTACAAAAAAAGTACAT